CCTGTATGGCAAAGCGCAGATTGGGAGAGGGGAAAAGCAGCACATGCAGCCAATCAGGTGTGCTGCAGTGCTGACAGGTTAGAGCACAGTGACAGGGGGCAAGCTGATCAGTGTGCTGCTTCTCCTTCATAATTCAGCACACGGGAGGGACAAGACTTGTAAGTATTACTAAACTGCTGCAGAGGTCTCCGGGTTCTGCCAGGCACTGAACTGTGCTGTGCAACAGAGTGGTGTTAATATGACTGGGTGGGGGAGGGGGGCGGAGCCCGAACATGGCGGCACAGGAGAGCGGAGAATAGGAGCTCTCCGATAGCCTCCCCCACCTATCCTCCCTAAATTGTCCCGAGGGACTGACTAGCTGAGTCGGAGGGCGGCTGGAGACTGACCTGGTGAGAGGGGAGATCCCGGCGGTGATGCGGCTGTCGGCCGGAGAGCGGAGGGGTTGAGCCTGTCTTCCCCATGAAGTCTGCCTGCGGTGATCCTGGAGAGAGAGTGTGAGGTTGCCGGGCGACAAGGAGGAGTGGCGATAACACGTGGGCTGCCGAGGTGTACAGCTGGGAGAGGAAGAGACCGGCCGGCGTCTTAGGAGACAGGGGAAGCGCTGACATCCATTGCAGAGCTGTCTCCAGGGATTTCTCGGGGTATATGCAGAGGAGGACAAAAGAGACCCAAGGAAATTCCCTGGAAGAGGAAGACACGGCTGCAGGAGAAAGGGCAACCCTGGACTGCAAACCAGAAGCTGCTCCATAGAGGAGGGTGAGTGAAAGCTGCGGGTCTCCCCAAGTGTTAGTTATTCAATTTGTGTTATTGACTATCTGACATCCAACATAAAGAATAAGAAGGGAATTCCCAGAGAGGGTCTGAAGAAAGCAGTGACAGTTTAAGTATATACCCCAGAATCTTGAAAAAGCTCTAAAAATCCTATATGTGATATGAAAGGGAAAAATAGTAAAGGAAGTATGCCCAAGAACTCCCAAACTGGAACGATAAAAAAATACACGTCGCAAGGGAAGTTAACTCCAGTAAAATCCCAGGAAATAAGTGATAGGAGTGAACTGGAAATAAGCCTTGATAATAGCTTAAGATCTTCCCTGGGACCAGTTAACAATAGCCAACAAACACTGGAAAGTATGGAGTTGGGAGAAACTGAAAAAGAACTGCAAATACCAAATAAAAAGGAAATGGCGGAGATTAGAGATGAGCGAAGAAATGAAAAATTCGATTCGACTGATTCGGCGAATTCGTGGACAATATTCGATTCGAGTCGAATAAATTCGCTGTGAATTTAACTTAAAAAAGGGTGTTTCTAGGCTTCAGAGAGACTTAATATTAGTGCAGAACACTGTACCTTTAATTTAAATGCCCTTGGAGTCTGCTGGGAAAGAGAAATAATACTGTCACTCAGTATGACATGCAGATGAGTGCCGTCGATCTTAGAATCACCGCACACTTCACTCATTTGGCCAGTCACGGGGCCAAAACCAGTGTTTGGAGCCACAGTGTGGCGGTGGAGGCAGCAGCAATGGGAGGCCATACAGCAACCTATGACAAAATGGAAACCAGCAGGAGTGTGAGGAGACCTGAAAGTGGCACATGGCAGAGTGGGAGCAATGGGAGGCGGTACAAGGACCCATGTCACACTGTGGACCCAGCAGCAGCGTGACCAGGTGGTACGGGGGCCCATGCCAGATTACAGGCCTGGCAGCAGCAATGGGAGGCCCGTAATCTGCCAGCACCCTATGACAAAAAATGTAACACACCAGCAGTGTGTGAGGAGACCTGAAAGTGGCACATGGCAGAGTGTGGCGATGGAGACAGCAGCAATGGGAGGCCGTACAGGGACCCATGACACACTCTGGACTTGGCAGCAGCATGAGGAGGCGCGGTATAGGGGCCCATGGCAGATTAGGGGCCTGGCAGCAGCTATGTGAGGCCCGTAATCTGCCAGCACCCTATGACAAAAAAAATGTAACACACCAGCAGTGTGAGGAGACCTGAAAGTGGCACATGGCAGAGTGTGGCGATGGAGACAGCAGCAATGGGAGGCCGTACAGGGACCCATGAGAGACTGTGGACCTGGCAGCAGCATGAGGAGGCGGTATAGGGGCCCATGGCAGATTAGGGCCTGGCAGCAGCTATTGGAGGCCCGTAATCTGCCAGCACCCTATGTCAAAAAATTCTAACAACACCATCAGCATTGAACACACCAGCAGTGTGAGGGGACCTGAAAGTGGCACATGGCATGAGAGACTGTGGACCTGGCAGCAGCATGAGGAGGACGGTATAAGGGGCCCATGGTAGATTAGGGGCCTGGCAGCAGCTATGGGAGGCCCGTAATCTGCCAGCACCCTATGTCAAAAAAATTGAACACACCAGCAGTGTGTGAGGAGACCTGAAAGTGGCACATGGCAGAGTGTGGCGATGGAGACAGCAGCAATGGGAGGCCGTACAGGGACCCATGAGAGACTCTGGACCTGGCAGCAGCATGAGGAGGCGGTATATAGGGGCCTATGGCAGATTAGGGGGCCTGGCAGCAGCTATAGGAGGCCCGTAATCTGCCAGCACCCTATGTCAAAAAAATTCTACACACCAGCAGTGTGAGGAGACCTGAAAGTGGCACATGGCAGAGTGTGTGGCGATGGAGACAGCAGCAATGGGAGGCCGTACAGGGACCCATGACAGACTCTGGACCTGGCAGCAGCATGAGGAGGCGGTATATAGGGCCTATGGCAGATTAGGGACCTGGCAGCAGCTATAGGAGGGCCCGTAATCTGCCAGCACCCTATGTCAAAAAATTCAACACACCAGCAGTGTGTGAGGAGACCTGAAAGTGGCACATGGCAGAGTGTGGCGATAGAGACAGCAGCAATGGGAGGCCGTACAGGGACCCCTGACACACTCTGGACTTGGCAGCAGCATGAGGAGCGGTATAGGGGCCCATGGCAGATTAGGGGCCTGGCAGCAGCTATGTGAGGCCCCGTAATCTGCCAGCACCCTATGACAAAAAATGTAACACACCAGCAGTGTGAGGAGACCTGAAAGTGGCACATGGCAGAGTGTGGCGATGGAGACAGCAGCAATGGGAGGCCGTACAGGGACCCATGACAGACTCTGGACCTGGCAGCAGCATGAGGAGGCGGTATATAGGGGCCCAAGGCAGATTAGGGGCCTGGCAGCAGCTATGGGAGGCCCGTAATCTGCCAGCACCCTATGACAAAAAAATGTAACACACCAGCAGTGTGAGGAGACCTGAAAGTGGCACATGTTTGGGGCATGATTCATGGCGGATTTAGTCAGTTGTGTCAGGAACTGGTGGTTTGAAATCCAGACTAATCCACGCCTGATTCATTTTCACAAACGTGAGTCTCTCCACACTTTGGGTGGACAGTCGTGTCCCTCCGCGGAGTTACAATACCTCCTGCCGCACTAAACACAGCGCTCCGATGCCACGCTACTGGCCGGGCATGACAGCCTTTCAAGGGCAAATTCAGCTAGTTGGGGCCAAAGGTCAAGTTTCGTTGCCCAGTAGTCAAGGGGATTGTCTACCTCGGTTGGCAGGGTGCTGTCCAAGTAGGCCTAAGCCTGTTGTTTGAGGTCCTGCTCCAGGTCCACCTGATGCTGCTGCTGCTGCTGCGGCTGGTTAGTAGTTTCCTCACACTGCGCTGGTGAAGAAAGCTACTCATCATCGACTGCAGACTGAGGCAGCCTGCTGCTGGTGGAGCTGCCACTGCTCCTACCACCCCCCACCCCTCCCCTGCTGCCATGGCAGCGGAACGCGAGCGCACAGGGCCCACAGTGTCTGAGGATGGACGTTGGCGCAGAAAGGCAGAGACCAGCTGACTACATAGGTGGTTTTTATAGTACGTTATTTTGGCCTCCCTCTCAGCAGGTGTGAAAAAGGCCACCATTTTTGAACGGTAGCGAGGGTCCAACAAGGTGGACAGCCAAAAGTCATCCCTCTGTCTGATGGTTATAATTCGGCGGCTGTCGCTACGCAAGCAAGCGAGCATGCTATGGGCCATTTGTGCCAAGGAATGCGAGGGACTCTCCCTGCCTCCATCTCCACAGCATACTGCCACGGTGCGTCTGGGTCCTCTGTCTCCTCCTGCTCCTCCTCTACCAGATGCTCCTGCTCCTCCACTCCTGTCCGCTGAGTGGAAAAACCACCCATTTCACTCAATAATTCCTGAGCACAAATGTCCTCCTCTACCTCCTCCTCTTCTTCTTCCTGTCCTGCCCCCACAGGGGTCATGTGGCGTTGAGATCTGTGCGCCACGTCTACCGCACCCTGACCAGCCATTGTTAACAGCATTTGTTCCAGGACGTGCAACAGAGGAATGATGTCGTTCATCCCATAGTCCTGCCGACTCACGAATAGCGTGGCCTCCTCAAAGGGCCTGAGCAAGCGGCAGGTGTCACGCATGAGCTGCCAATGGCTGACATCGAAGTTACACAGGGGAGTACCTTTATCCGCTTGTAACATCAGGAAATCGGTGATGGCCTTTCGCTGTTCATAAAGGCGGTCTACCATGTGTAGGGTTGAATTCCACCTTGTTGCAACGTCGCAGATCAGGCGATGCTGTGGAATTCCGTTCTGCCGCTGCAGCTCAAGGAGGGTGTGCTTTGCGGTGTAGGAATGGCTGAAATGCATGCAAAGTTTACGTGACATTTTAAGGATGTCTTGCAGTGGGATGGTGGATTTTAGGAACCGCTTGACAACCAGATTGAACACGTGAGCCATGCATGGCGCATGGCACAACCTTACTTGACGCAGAGCAGACACCATGTTCTTTCCGTTGTCGGTCAACATGGTTCCGATTTTCAGTTTGCGCGGAGACAGCCATCTGTCGATTTCTCTGTTCATTACACTGATAAGTTCCTCCCCTGTGTGACTACGTTCGCCTGGACCTGGCAGCAGCATGAGGAGGCGGTATAGGGCCCATGGCAGATTAGGGGCCTGGCAGCAGCTATAGGAGGCCCATAATCTGCCAGCACCCTATGTCAAAAAATTCAACACACCAGCAGTGTGAGGAGACCTGAAAGTGGCACATGGCATGAGACAGCACTGTGGACCTGGCAGCAGCATGAGGAGCGGTATATATAGGGGCCCATGGCAGATTAGGGGCCTGGCAGCATCTATGGGAGGCCCGTAATCTGCCAGCACCCTATGTCAAAAAATTCAACACACCAGCAGTGTGTGAGGAGACCTGAAAGTGGCACATGGCAGAGTGTGGCGATGGAGACAGCAGCAATGGGAGGCCGTACAGGGACCCATGACAGACTCTGGACCTGGCAGCAGCATGAGGAGGCGGTATATAGGGGCCCATGGCAGATTAGGGGCCTGGCAGCAGCTATGGGAGGCCCGTAATCTGCCAGCACCCTATGTCAAAAAAATTCAACACACCAGCAGTGTGTGAGGAGACCTGAAAGTGGCACATGGCAGAGTGTGGCGATGGAGACAACCCACCGACTGTTTTGCTCGCTGCCAAGCTGCCACCCTCTTCTCCTGATGATGCGGAAGCAATAGCCCTGATGACGACGAGGCTGCCAAGTGCGATCAGCCCTCATCATCATCAATTAGGGTCTCCGCCTCACTACTAGCCCCCTCGGCTGCGTGTGGGTCAGGAGACAGACCTGTCTCTAGACCGGCTACCGAGCCACTCTCCTCGCCAGAACACTGTACTTCTTCGCCTGGCTGCTGAAGAGGCGGATGTCTCCCCCCGTTCCTGACCGCCCTCTGTTAGCTCTTCCTCACTGTACTGGATGACACCGGGAGCACTAGCCTCTGGCTGCGAATAGTGCTGCCTCGACCCCTTCCTCTGCTGCCAACGTCTGCTCGTTCCTAAAACATTTGCCTCCTCTGCCACTCCTCTGCATGTTGTGTCTGACATACTCTTTAATAAACGATTCTGTGTCCCTGAGTAACAATTCTGTGTCCCTGAGTAACGTTTCTGTGGCCCTAAGTAACATTTCTGTGGCCCTCAGTAACAATTCTGTCTGTCCCTGAGTAACAATTCTGTGTCTGTCCCTGAGTAACAATTCTGTGTCCCTCAGTAACAATTCTGTGTCCCTCAGTAACAATTGTCTGTGTCTCCCTACTTCCTAACAATTCTGTGGCCCTAAGTAACAAATTCTGTGGCCCTCAGTAACAGTTCTGTGTCTGTGCGAGTAACAATTCTGTGTCTGTGCGAGTAACAATTCTGTGGCCCTAAGTAACAGTTCTGTGGCCCTCAGTAACAATTCTGTGTCCCTGAGTAACAATTCTGTGTCTGTGCCTGAGTAACAATTCTGTGGCCCTAACAATTCTGTAACAGTTCTGTGTCTGTGTCCTCAGTAACAATTCTGTGTCCCTGATTAACAATTCTGTGGCCCCAAGTAACGGTTCTGTGGCCCTCAGTAACAATTCTGTGTCCCTGATTAACGTTTTCTGTGGCCCTAAGTAACGGTTCTGTGGCCCTCAGTAACAATTCTGTGTCCCTGAGTAACAATTCTGTGTCTGTGCGAGTAACAATTCTGTGGCCCTCAGTAACAATTCTGTGTCTGTGCGAGTAACAATTCTGTGTCTGTGCGAGTAAACAATTCTGTGGCCCTAAGTAACGTTCTGTGGCCCCTCAGTAACAATTCTGTGTCCCTGTGTAACAATTCTGTGTCTGTGCGAGTAACAATTCTGTGGCCCTAAGTAACAGTTCTGTGGCCCTCAGTAACAATTCTGTGTCTGTGCCTGAGTAACAATTCTGTGTCTGTGCGAGTAACAATTCTGTGGCCCTAAGTAACAATTCAGTTCTGTGGCCCTCAGTAACAATTCTGTGTCCCTGAGTAACAATTGTGTCTGTGTCTGTGCGAGTAACAATTCTGTGGCCCTAAGTAACAGTTCTGTGTCCCTGTGTAACAATTCTGTGTCTGTGCGAGTAACAATTCTGTGGCCCTAAGTAACAGTTCTGTGGCCCTCAGTAACAATTCTGTGTCCCTGAGTAACAATTCTGTGTCTGTGCGAGTAACAATTCTGTGGCCCTAAGTAACAGTTCTGTGGCCCTCAGTAACAATTCTGTGTCCCTGAGTAACAATTCTGTGTCTGTGCGAGTAACAATTCTGTGGCCCTAAGTAACAGTTCTGTGGCCCTCAGTAACAATTCTGTGTCTGTGCGAGTAACAATTCTGTGTCTGTGTGAGTAACAATTCTGTGGCCCTAAGTAACAGTTCTGTGGCCCTCAGTAACAATTCTGTGTCTGTGCGAGTAACAATTCTGTGGCCCTAACACAGTTCTGTAACAGTTCTGTGGCCCTCAGTAACAATTCTGTGTCTGTGCGAGTAACAATTCTGTGGCCCTAAGTAACAGTTCTGTGGCCCTCAGTAACAATTCTGTGTCTGTGCGAGTAACAATTCTGTGTCTGTGCGAGTAACAATTCTGTGGCCCTAAGTAACGGTTCTGTGGCCCTCAGTAACAATTCTGTGTCCCTGTGTAACAATTCTGTGTCTGTGCGAGTAACAATTCTGTGGCCCTAAGTAACAGTTCTGTGGCCCTCAGTAACAATTCTGTGTCTGTGCGAGTAACAATTCTGTGTCTGTGCGAGTAACAATTCTGTGGCCCTAAGTAACAGTTCTGTGGCCCTCAGTAACAATTCTGTGTCCCTGAGTAACAATTCTGTGTCTGTGCGAGTAACAATTCTGTGTCTGTGCGAGTAACAATTCTGTGGCCCTAAGTAACAGTTCTGTGTCCCTGTGTAACAATTCTGTGTCTGTGCGAGTAACAATTCTGTGGCCCTAAGTAACAGTTCTGTGGCCCTCAGTAACAATTCTGTGTCTGTGCGAGTAACAATTCTGTGTCTGTGCGAGTAACAATTCTGTGGCCCTAAGTAACAGTTCTGTGTCCCTGTGTAACAATTCTGTGTCTGTGCGAGTAACAATTCTGTGGCCCTAAGTAACAGTTCTGTGGCCCTGAGTAACAATTCTGTGTCTGTGCGAGTAACAATTCTGTGTCTGTGCGAGTAACAATTCTGTGGCCCTAAGTAACAGTTCTGTGGCCCTCAGTAACAATTCTGTGTCTGTCCCTGAGTAACAATTCTGTGGCCCTAACTAAAGTTTCTGTGGCCCTAAGTAACAATTCTCTGGCACTCAGTAACAATTCTGTCTGTCCCTGAGTAACAATTCTGTGGCCCTAATAACGTTTCTGTGGCCCTAAGTAACAATTCTCTGGCACTCAGTAACAATTCTGTCTGTCCCTGAGTAACAATTCTGTGGCCCTAATAACGTTTCTGTGGCCCTAAGTAACAATTCTCTGGCACTCAGTAACAATTCTGTCTGTCCCTGAGTAACAATTCTGTGGCCCTAATAACGTTTCTGTGGCCCTAAGTAACAATTCTCTGGCACTCAGTAACAATTCTGTCTGTCCCTGAGTATGAATTCTGTGGCCCTAACTAGCGTTTCTTTGTCCCTAAGTAACGATTCTGTGGCCCTAATTAACAATTCTGTGTCCCTGAGTAATAGTTCTCTGTCCCTAAGTATCGTTTCTCTGTCCCCAAGTATCGTTTCTGTGGCCCTAACTCTGTCCCTGTCCCTAATACAGAGCGGTCTGCCTCTGTTCAATGACTGCAGGCAAATGAAGAATTCCAAAATGGCCGCTATTTATAGCTCGACCATTACACAGTGCTAGCTGGCTGGCTGCTGATTGGCTGATGCGATCACATGTCGTTGAGGAATGCATTATGGGTCAGCGCGCCTTGTCTGCGCGCCTTCCCAGACATCCCCGCTCCGTCGCCGCACATGTCAGCCGCCAATCGAAATTTTTTTTCGATATTCGACTCGAATTCCACTTCGGCTACTTCGATTCGCTCATCTCTAGCGGAGATGTTTAAAAATCTAGAAAAATCCATAAAGCAAGAGATGGGGATAATTCGGAAAGAAATGGGACAGTTAACTAGAGTGGAAGAAACGGAGGAAACAGTTAAATCCCACACCCAAATCATCCCAAAATTAGAAAAACTGATAATAGATACTCGGAAGGAACAAAAAAGACTGCTTTATATGATGGAGGATCAAGAAAATAGGGACAGGAGAAATAACATTAGAATAAGAGGAGTCCCAGAGCTGCAACAGGGGGAAGACCTAAAGGAGATTATAGGAAAAATTTTGAACGCCATAATGGATAGATCTGGTGCGGAAATGTACAAACTGGATGGAGTGTACAGGATAGGAAAGTTTCAACAAGAACAAGGCCCAGAAAAATCAAGAGATACAATCGTTCGGTTCCATAATTATAGAGATAAGGATGAGATATGGAAGAAGATTAAAGGAAGAACGAACATCAATTATGGAGGGAAAAGTATTCAAATTTTTGCAGACATAGCAGCTGAGACACTGAGAAGAAAGAGATCATTGAAACCAATATTGGAATTGTTGAAGAAACAGAATGTGCAATATAGATGGGGTCGATCAGCATGTTTGATCGGTTGGAAGGATGGAGTTACAGCTTTTTTGAGATCCCCTGAAGATATGAAAGACTTTTGTAATAAATTTGAACTGCAGAGAATAGAGATACCGGGATGGGAAGAGGAGAGAGAGAGCGTTATATATGTTGGGAAAAGAGGAATGGCAGCTAGTTAGAAGAGAAAACAGAGAGCAAATAGATAGAGGGACATCGGGGAGGAGGGGGGGAGGTGAGCGGTACATGGACGGAGCTGAGCCCCCAGATAGGAATCAAAAGTGGAACTCTTTCCACAAATGATTTATAGGCAAATAAAAAGCCTACCGGGGGGGAGGGGTTTATAATGGGGGAGGGGAGGGAGGGGGAGGGAGGGGGGGAGGGGGGGGAGGGAGGGGAGGGGGGATGGAGGGGGGGGGGGAGGAGGGCTGGGGGAGGAGGGCTGGGGAGGGGAGGGGTGGGATTGGGGATAGGGAGTCTTAAAACTGACATCTTGTATGAGAGAAGAGGTATAGGGAAGGGAAAGAGGAAAGGAAATGGTAAAATAGGAAGAAGACAAATAAAACATGGAGGAAATACGCTTTGTAACCCATAATGTAAATGGATTAAATTGCCCGGGTAAAAGATTTCGACTATATAGAGAACTACAACATAGAGAGGCCTCAGTTGTTTTTTTTTGCAGGAAACACATCTAGAGTTAAAAAAAAATATTAAGCTATACTCTAGACAACATCCTACATGGTATTACGCAGATTCCCCAGTTAAGAGAGCTAAGGGAGTAGCTATAGGATTTGCAAAAAACATCAGGTTTGAATTGGAAGATAGAAAGACGGACCCGGAGGGGAGGTTTTTGAAGGGTAAATTACATGACATAAAATGTACGCTTGTAAACATATATTGCCCTAATAGGAAGCCAGAGACGTTTTTGAAAGGGGTTATGAGAAGGTTGATGGACTTTGGAAAGGGATATCTAATAGTGGCGGGTGACTTTAACATATGTATGGATCCACAAATAGATACAAAATCTGGAGTACAGAGAAGGGGAA